TGGTTGCACAAGGGTGAGTCTAAATATAAATCATTGCAAGAAATAGAGGCATCCTTTTTAATTATGTCATTTCTTTTAGATGCCTTGGTAGAGGTTAAATTGACGGCCTCAAGATTAGCAACTTTATTAGTTAGCTCATCACAATGTTTGCACATGATTTCCATTTTAGCAAGCAAACTTTGATAATCATTTTGTGAGATAGCTAACTTTTCTTTTAATTTTTCATTTTTCTTTTCAAGTTGCTTATCGTTAATTGTGCATGCACTTGTTGTTGCACTAGCCTCAAGTTGCTTAATTTTAGTAGATAGTTCAACATTTAGATTTGCAAAGTTTTCATATTGTTCAAGCAAATTCTTGTATGCTTCTTGTGAACTACCTAGCTCTTCTTTTAAACTTTTGAGCTTCTTTTGTTGACTAGTGCAAACTTTAGCATATTTAAGATTTTGTTGCACAATTTCATGATAAGAAGGCATATCATCATCACTATCGCTCTCACTAGAGGATGAGCTTTCGTTACCTCGAGCCATAAGGCACACACGAGAAGAGCTTGATGATGAGTGCTTGCACCCTCGCCTCTTGTGATGGTCTTCTTCACTTGAAGAATCATCCTATGATCTTATTGATGTGAGGGCTTTATTCTTGCATGCCTTCTTCTTTGTCTTAGGTGTGGGTTTGTTTGGACAAACTTCCACAAAGTGCCCCACTTCGCCACATCCATAACATCCTCTCTTTCTTTGCTCGTTTATTTGATTGGTGAAAACGAGGTCTTGGATTTGGATGGGCACACCCTTGACATTGTGCTTTTGGATCATCTTCTCCACCTTATTGATAAGTTTGATTGATTCTTCATCAAGGTCGGAGGCGGAGGAGGAAGATTGATCATCATTACTTGAAACCTCTTCTTCATCATCATCATCATCATCCTCATCTTCTTCTTCATCTTCACTTGAGGAGCTTGAGCTTGAGCTTGTCTCAACTTGCTTTCCCTTCATCTTCTTCTTCTCGCTACATGCGAGAGCTTTGCCTTTGCTTGATGAAGAAGCTTCTTCTTGACCCATCATACGGGACATTTCAAATGCCACTAGCTTGCCAATGACTATGCCCGGGGTCATGTTGCTCAAGTCCTCCATGTTGTGAAGGATGGTGATGATGCTTGCATATTTCTTTTGTGGTAGCACGGAGATGATCTTCCTCACGATGTCCGCATCATCTAGCTTTAATAGTCCTATTGAATGGAGCTCATTGATAATTAGATTCAAACGAGAATACATATCACGAACAAGCTCATTGTCATTCATAGTAAAGGAATCATAATTTTGTTTAGCTAGACAATGTTTTTGCTCACGGACATTACTTGTGCCGTCATGGAGCTCTTGGAGTTTTAACCAAATTTCATGAGCGGTATTTAAAGTGAACACTTGGTTAAAAACATCCATACTTAAAGATTCAAACAAGCAATTTTTAGCTCTAGCATTGAAATGCAATTCTTTTTCATCACTCTTCGTGGGTTTTTTGGGATTCATAATGGGTTTCATCCCGTCACGAGTGACTCTTCATACACCTAAATCAACCGCCTCAAGATGACAAGCCATTCTTGCTTTATAATATGGGAAGTTAGTGCCATCAAAATTCGGAGGCTTAGCGGTATCCATCCCAACCACTCTAAATAGCGTCGGCTCAACGGAGGTTAAGCCAAAGGTCCAAATTGAGCCAACCTGGCTCTGATACCACTTGAAGGACACGTGGACGCCTAAGAGGGGGGGGGGTGAATTAGGCAACTTAAAGAACTAACTCTAAACTATGGCCTCTTTTTCTAAGTCTAGCAAAACCTATGCAAAAGATAATCTATCTAAATGTTCAACTACGGTTTTGCTAGTGTGTTGCTATCTCTACCGTAAATGATAATACTATGATCAATGTAAATGCAGAAGCTTAAAGAGCAAGGTAGAGATATGCAAACTCCCGTCGACGACTCCGGTATTTTTACCGAGGTATCGAGAAGCGCGCAAGCTTCCCCCTAGTCCTCGTTGGAGCCCCTCGCAAGGAATCCCTCGCAAGGGCCAAGCTCCCGGTCGGGTAACTCCGTGGATAGCCTTGGGCCTTCCCCACACGCAAGTGGGTCTCCGATGTGCCTTCCGGCAAGCCTCTCCTGGATGCTCCCCGCCGTCTTCACTATCAAGCTTTCTGCTGAAACGTCGCGGGCCTTGTTCCCTTCGGTACACGGTGGCGGCCGCACCACAAACGCGGTTGGTGCGATCTCGCAAGACTTCAAGCCCCTCCGATGTACAACTCTTGTGCTCGCAAGCACGGAGTGGTAAGAGGTATGCAAACCTCACTAAACACTAGGCATACACCTAGAGCAAGCGCATAAGCGGTGGTCTAATCAACCTAAGCACTTCGCAAAGCACCTACGCTAATCACCTGATGAAACACTAAGCACTTTGCAAGTGGAGATCACTAAAATGGTGTATCAACACCCTAGATATGTTTCCTCAGCTCCACACCTATCAAATGGCCGGTTGGGGGTTGTATTTATAAGCCCCACTGAGAAAGTAGCCGTTGGGGTCGAACTCCCGCAAATCTGCTACTGACCGGACGCTGAATCGTCCTGACCGGACGCGTCCGGTCGTCCCGACCGTTGTAGCCGCGAACTACCGATCGGACGCTGCCAGCGTCCGGTCGCCTGCCACCGGACGCGTCCGGTCGCAGTTTCGCGCGCCTGGAACCTCTCTGTACTCGATCGGACGCTGCGTTCCTGCGTCCGGTCGGTTGCCGCCAGCGTCCGGTCCTTGCATCCGGTCGCCTGTCTGCCGAGCCACCGGTCCAGCGTCCGGTCGTGCTTCCAGCGTCCGGTCCAGCGTCCGGTCGTCTCTGCGAGCTCGTTTCTTGCGCGATCTTGCGTACGGCTTGGTTCCTATCTTCATGCTTGGACTTTGCTTGACATCTTGGGTCTTTTCTTGTGCTTCTAAGGTCTTGCTTGAGGTGTTGATCATCGGATCATCACGTCGCCTTCGTCCAAGTCACGTCTTACATCCTATTGGACTACAAAACAAACACTTGCAAATTCATTAGTCCAATTTGGTTGTGTTGGTCATCAAACATCAAAATCCAAAGTAAATGTGCCAAGGGTCCATTTTCCTTACAGGGGTAATACCGCAATACCCAAGTACTACCCCGTCCTAAAAACTTGCGATACTAGAAAATTTCAGACAGATAGTGCTAATTCAAATGATCATATTTATTAGACTATTTCCCATAGAAAGATTAATTGCCACATGGATACTTGGTTTAGTTGTGCATGCAACTATAAATCTATAATTAAGGAGTCAACATGAAGATTGCGGATGAGAATTGGGCGCATTGGGGAAAGATGCGCGGTTCACCACTTGAGATAGGTGGATCCCGGTAGCTATCCAAAGGTTATAGTGACAACAAATTTTGAATCCTTAAAAAGCGGCAAGATGGTTATAAATATGTGGCCCTATTCGCTTAAACTTATCAGCCTGACTTATCAGCCATGAAACAATGTTTTTCTCTCACAACAAATCAGCTTCAGCCGGCTTATCAGCCACAGAAACCATCAGCCTAACAGCTCGGTAATGATATATGGTTATAAATATGTCAATTACAGCAATATATCTTTGAAATATGATAATTTTAATAGCATAGATACAGAAAGAGTGAATGAAAAAGAGCTTTCCGTGCTCCCACCGAGTGCCAAAAGAGTGTAACATTTTCGTCCCAAATCTATGAGCGCTTTCGGAGGCCCTACGACAGAGGACCACAGGAAATGAGTCATCCACCACTCCTAGTTTCTCCATCCTTAAAAAGCGTCATGCTCTGTTCGGCTGATACACAAGTCGGTTGATAAGCTGGCTGAAACTGTTTTGTTGTGAGAGAAAAATACTGTAGATTCTAGCTGATAAGCCGACTGATAAGTTCTTTTGAAAAGATCTCCTGGCATGTATATAGCCCGACCGCCCGAGTCCCGAAGGTGCCAGTTTCATTTATCTGAGTAACGACTGATTCATGACTGAAGTTACCTCAGCATTATTAAGACTCCCTATACAATGTTCTGCCAAAAAGAATGCAATTCTAGGTGCATTCTTTGTTGAAATATCTAAAGTTTAGCAAATATATAGATAAAAATATTAATGTTTGACACCAAAGAAATGTATACTATACAAATATCTCACGACAAATCTAGTGGTACTTATTTGTTCTCATAAATATTGATATTTTTTAAGTATATAGTTAGCCAAAACTCAACACACTACTTCAACTTCATATTGTGCTAGAATTACATTATTTTCTAGACAAAGGGAGTACGTCCCAAAATAAATGATGTTTAAGGTTTGTTCTAAGTTAAACCATTAAGTTTGACCCGATTTATGGGAAAGAACATAAATGTTTATGGCACCGAATATGTAGAATATAAAAATAAAAATATATTTCATAATAAATCTAATAATACTTATTTAATACTATAAACATTAGTAATTATTTGTATACATTTGGTTAAACTTAAGATAGTTTGACTTAGGACAAACCTAAAACATCACTTATTCTGAGACGGATGGAGTATTAAATAGTAAGCCACCAAAATCAAAATGACAGGCACAGTTTGTCTAGTAATGGGAATCTTCTATCGGTTCAATCAAGAAAAATATAGCATTGGCTTGGCCGTCAGCAGATTGCAGCTTAAAACAAACACAATGAACACAGATAAACACCAATCACACATCAGATGAGACCCAACGTCAAGTGAAGTAAAATAATAGTGGAATAAGCAAATGTTTCATTACTTTAGGAATTCAGTATCACAGGAGAAATCCAAACACTTGAAAGCTAAGGACACATTGAAGCCAACACTTGAAAGCTAAGGACACATTGAAGCCATTGAAGCAATCCGGCAGCAGCATACTAGAGACTGAGGTATGTACACAGGTTTACGATAGCAGCAGCCTGCTCGTTTATTTACAGTGGCAGGGGTGGTTGCTCTAGGCAGAGCCGAAGGTGTTCTCGCCACTGTAGGTCATGTAGAGGAAGCCATCCTCGTCCTTGTTCTCTTCGTAGATCGCAGACATCAAAGAGGCTGCCACAAGAGAGTATTAAAAAATGAGAACATAACAATGAAGGAGCATCAACGATGAATGGATAGCGATGTTTCAATTTATACCAGTTGGTGGCAAGGTGTTCTTCACAAAGATGAAGATTGCCTTCTCTGGGCTCAGCTTGATCCTCTTCCTCACCACATAGACAAACTGGCCGACAGTGATATCAGCAGGGACAAGGTACCTGCAGGTGTTAACAAATATGGATCGATGTAAATGAAAATAGTTAAGATCCAGAGAGCAACGAATAGATGGATTAGTCATGTTTTTAAGAACCCAATCAAGAAGACATGGAAAAATACAGGCTCGCTTCACCATGTTATATCATTTAAATATGACCAGCATGCAGATTATTGTTGCACACAAAGAGATTTTGAGCAAACTTAGCAAAAACTACCAGAAAAACATAGGAGATATCTAGATGGCAACTTACTTCTTCTTATCAATTTCAGGGACATCAGTCTTGCCAGCTTTCTCAACAATCACCTGAAAACATTGATGACAAAATCAGCAATCAAGCATACATGCATAAAAAATGCATGGAAAAATTGCTGAACATATCTTACAGGAATTCTGTCGGGGTACTTATCCCTGATCCTGGCAGATTCGGCCTGCCTTTTTTCTGTAATAGTAAACAAGGTTCAGAACTAGTTAAGAAAAGGGTACACACACATAAGGTGAGAACAAATTGAGGCCGACACACACATCTTGACTATAATCAACTACGTGTACAAATAGGAGCAGAAGTATAATATGAATCTTCCAGGCTAGGAGGTGCAGTAAATAGACCAAGCACAGTGGTAGCCATATGATGAAAACCAGCACATTGAATCCAAGAATCAATACAAGTAAACTTGCATAAAAAAAAAATGTAGACCATATATATATATACTATATATAACATAATTAGTCATGCAAATCAAATGTCAAAACATGAACATGTTACCATCTGCAATCCCATGGAAGTATAAACAAACTAATGTTCCATTAATCAAGGCCTTACTACAACTAAGAACACTATTAATTCTTCCCAAAAAGATTATTGTTCTGAGAAAGAACAGGTACTTTTAAAAACAAAACTAAAGCTACCAGTTTGATCCAAATTACATAGTTGTTGGAACATATAAAATAGATGAATGGAGAGCCATGCAAAACTTCTTTAAAAAGAACAGAGAGAACACTCTGTTCAAAGGTTTAGCAAATTACAACATAATAAATGATGACACAAACTGGAATACGGCAGAATTCAGATCAACTTCATGGTCTGTCCCTAACAGGTCCACATAAAAACAGGTTTACGAAAGATCAAAAGAGCAAAGCTGCGTTAGAACAGAACACATAGAAGCAGAGCAACCTAAGCCATAGTAGCCGCATTACATAATTCAACTCAAGCATGTGTTGGCTCACACAACATCTATAACCACAACCCATAATAAACTTAGGAAAGCAATGCAGACAAGAAACAAACCCTTAATAAAAAAAACATCATAACAATTATCCACATGCCTCTTGACAGAAACCCCAACCCAAGCTCCAATCATCAATGAGTTCAGTCCAACATAAACATACCACCATCGTTTAAGTGGATCCAATCTACCATAATGCCAGTTCAATCCAATCTACTATACCATCGACAGCTTCAACCCAATCTATGAGCATCGCCCACTTATACCAATCAACCACAGGCAAGAGGCACAATTCCGGACCACAAAATTAACAGCGCACGAGACAAGAGAGTATAAGCAAACCAACCGAGGTCGTGCCCCATCTTGAAAGACGTCTTGGCCATCAACAACCTGAACAAGTCAACGGCAAAGATGAAATCGGTCCAAGGATAGCATCAGCAATAAACTAAACTGACGAATAGGTAGTAAAACCCGCCGAATTCTCGCGAACTCCGGCAGCTCTTATGGGGAAAAGCGGTCCAGGGGCTCACCGAGCGACGAGCTACGATCAGTGGAGCCGATCGGGTCGAGGGGTCGGCGAAATCGACGGGGCAAGTCGATTCGGCGGAAGCAGACGGCACGAGAAGGGGAGCGAACTCGCGGTAGGGTTCGGTGGGGATGGCGTGTCGCCGCTATTTATTATGGCCTCTCTTGCGAGGCTTTTACGGCAAAGCCCCTCGAGTTACGATTGTATTGCGTAAACAGCTCCTTTTCTAACACTTTTTTAAGTAAGTAATAATAATGGAACTCCTTCAGTCCTATTGCAGCATTTTTTTTAGATAGATAATACGTAATATAATGGAACTCCTTTTGCAGTATGAATTTGATTGGGTTATTAAAACTGCAGTTAGAGGTAGACTTCATTATCCCTCTTAGGCGGTGTTCGCGGGTCTGAAGGAAACCAGCTAGCCGGCTGGTTCCCCTCACGTGACACTGTTTATTCATCCAGCCAAACAGTGTTTCTCTCTCACACAACAAGTCAGTTTCAGTCAAGATTCTGTTAGCCGAATGGGCCTTAATTTGACAAATCGAATATATGGATTGACATTAATTTTTAAAAGTATGGTTGGAAAAATAGGTATTCCTGGAGGGCAGTTAACAATCGGTGATTTTGGAAACAAACACACGATTTGGGGATGAGGAGGGCTTTTGTACGTACATGGGTAGTTTGAGCTATACTCACAACAACAAAGGATCGGAACCCCTGGGCCCAGAGCCTACGATTGAGCGCGAAGCTTCGTGCTGCATGCACGTCTAGTTGGGTCGGGCCCAATTGGTGATTGGAAATTGTTGCGAAGCCTGTCACTTCTTGTTGATTTCTGGTGCATGTTCTGTGATGATAAGGGGTACTTGGGTTAGCAGCACTTCATCTTAGATAAATTTGATCAAATTGATAAACGTTTAGTTGGTAATAACTAAATTTAGTCAAAATTCTTTTGGGCTCTACGCGTCATAGAGTAAAAAAAGTATGAGACTATTCTGTTAGCCCTTAGACATACAAAATGTGTCTCCAAATTTTTTAGCCATATTTTTTTATGGCTCGGCACACTTGCGCCTAAGTTAGTTGTAGCAAATTATTGCTGGCAACCAAAGAAAACTATAAATATCAGTACTTTTAAAAAAAATCTGCAAGAGAAGAGCGTGAAGATTTAAACCAGGAGCAAATCAAAATCCAAATACGCCTTAACATGATCTAGTGCTTGTCTTTTCCTTTTTAGTGTCGTATTAGGGTTTTTAAAAGGAAAATTAAAATATATAATTAACTATGAATTTCTCTTACATTAAATGAGTTGGTACAGATTAAATCAATATCACATAAAACATTTTTGAAATACAAATCTAGGGATCCTCCGTACACTATGCATTAGTAGTATATAATTTGACTAATTATTAGATCTTTTAATCAAAACATATGGGCATGTTTGCTGTGCGGAACAGTCATTGTGGCTGTGTTGTGGCTGCAGGGATACACCTGCCTAGCCCAGCACTATTGGTATTGCTGCTCTGCAACTGCAGCTACTGTTTGAACACCGCCTATGAAGCTTGTTTTTTCAAAATACAAATATCTCTAAATCTATGCGTTTTTCCTAAGTCAATTTTCTCAAACTCTGACAAAAGTTTTAGAGAAAAACATCAACATCAAACTAATCTCATTAAATCTACCATAAGATATGTCTTGGTAGTGGATTTGAAAGATGTTAACATATCTTTATACGATGTTAGTCGAAGTTAGAAAATGTTGACTCGTCATTATAATAAAACTAGTATGACCTACATTTTAAAATGAAGGGACCATGCAATGGCCACCTTGCATGGCTGCTCTCACCTCAACACTCGATCCAACACTAAATAAAGAATTAACTTGTTGACAGATTTTACCTCCAAAATAATGTCCCATTTTTAGTTGATCTACCATAATAAGCATTCTCACACGTACAACATAGATACATAGTATGTGCATTTTGTGACTAAATGACTACAATGTTGAAACGTTGTTGTGAGCTACGAGCGGTGGAAATAATTGATGTAAGCTATTTGATGTGAAAAGTTGTAACATGTTTGGTTGAAACAACTATGAAACATACTCTCTCTCTCTCTCTCTAACTCCCTTGAAACAACTATGAAACACCTAGTTTCAAAAAAAAACTATGAAACACCTCTCTATTTCCATCCATTTGAAAAGGCAGCAAACCAAAAGCAAGGCCTCGAGTGCTGTGAAAATTGTACTAAGACAGTTGCTTTTGGACACACAAGCAGCTTCAAGTTCTACCTATATATAGTTGGTGTTCTTTTTTTTCAACAGAAATACCTTTTGGAAGTTAAACCAAACACAGCCTTATACATCATAAGTCTTCGTTGCTTATCATATATGTCCTTCTATCATGGAACATGAGCCGCATGTGAAAGGCTAAGTACACTCTGAGATGCATATATAGGCAAGAACCGGTTCCATTATCTAATTTTTTTGCAAAAACACAAGCAAAAGGGATTAGAGCAGAAGGCATGCTGCAGTGCCAGGGACCAGATAAGATCAGATCATAAAGAGTGTAGACAAGGCATGTGGCTCAGTAGTTAGTGGTTGGGGAGTGGCTGGAATGCATGGCACGCAGCCTACGAAGTAGTACAAACTAGTGCATAGCACACATACAGACGCAGATAGGAGTACTGTGTCTATATGTTTATTACATCCACGGGACCAGAGCAACAGCTCAAACCAGTACAAATTAGGACCTAGCAGGCGCATCACCAAACAAAATGCATGTTAGATGCATCAAATCCAACGCATGATCCATCGAGAAAGATCCTAAACATATTTATTAATTATGCATTGCATAGTACAGAATGCATGGGGGAAGCTAAGCTTGCATGCGCACCTCACAAGCTTGCATTGCTTGCATGCGCACATATCCACCCATCATACATACTTCCCCAAAAAGAAGCCACCACTTCCTATATAACCCAGCTAATATGATCGAGCTTCGAGCATGCATGTCAATGACCTATATAGCTAGGAATTTAAACGCATTCATGCATCCTATTGTACACACACGTAGTAGCTAGCTAGCTTGAGCAAGGACAAGGGGCATCCATGCCTTGTTAGTTACTAGCAGTGCATGCAGATGCATGGATGCTTGACCACCTAGCTTAAGCTTAATACTAATATAAGCTACCGCTCAGAGAAGGCGGTCTTGGGGAGCACGGCGTCCCTGACCTTGGTCAGCTCCCGCCCCTTGCTCCTCCCGGGCCGGCACGCCTGATCCGGCGGCGACGCCACGCCCATCCGCTCCATCTTCCTCGCCAGCCACTCATGCGGAGGCAGCATCTCTCCTCCATGGTCCTCCTCGTCTTCTTCGCTGTTGCCGCCTCGCCGCCTCTCCGAGCTCGAGCTACCAGCCGGAATGGCCGCTGGCGCCGACGACCTTCCCTTGCCCCTCGCGCCGCCGCCGGCGGCGCCACCTGCAACCGCGGACGACGCAACGACCTTCTTGGACTTGTTACTACTCCTCCTAATCCTTGGTGGAGTAGTTGCCATGAGCGCCGCCGCCGCCGCCAGCGGACGGTTATCATCCTGCAGCACGTCCTACACATATCCCTCGTCGAACTCTTCTTCCCTCACTCCGGCCATAGATCTCCAACACTATGCTGGCTAGGAACTAGGAAGATAGAGAAACAGAGAAGGGAGAGCTTGCTGCTGTGTGGCTTTGCAGCTGATGGATCAGAGGTGGCAAGCACTCGCCACTGGGCGGCACGTATATTTGTTGTCACAGGCGAGGGGACAGGGCCCGCGCATACAGTGCAGTGGACCAGTGCTGAAAGTGCGCTGAACGGGGACAATATTACAGCTGCCGCCCAGCGACCAGCAGACCCACGCACGGGCTGTTTCATTTCGCTTACCATCGCGCCGTCGTCTTGGATGCTTAATTTGTTTTAATTTGCTGCGTTTTGGCACAGCAGCAAGTTAGCAACACCGTCGTGTTGGTGCACCTGAGTTTGACGCCACGTGCCAAACACTTAGCACGCCACATGTGCGACCTACGGAGATGTCGTTCGTCGCAGCACCCCCATTGCATGTATAAACCGGCCTGGCCGGTTTCGGAAATCAGCTCAGGTTTCACTTAATATAATAATATAATGGTTGTTGAATAAGTGTGTCAAGAAGGATGTTTGTCATATCTTTAAGGTGGCAAACGGTTTTACGGATTTACAGTAGAAACTTTCTTGTGTGGCTTCCAAAGGAGAGCTCCAACTGCGGAATGGCGAGGAGTTATCGGCCAGTGTCCGTCAGCCTCCCGCCTCTCACTATGTGAAAAACGCTTTGCAGGGACAGCTACTGATCGTTTGTAGAGACGGCTCAACCAGCCGTCCCTACCATACCGTCTCTACAAATCGATTTGTAGGGGCGGTTGGTACTGTAGCCACCCCTGCAAATCGATTTGTAGGGACGGCTACAGTACCGATCGCTCCTATAGTACATTTTTTTGCTAAAAAATTTAAATTTACAATTCAAATTCGACCAGAATATACACACACACACACACATATATATATATATATATATATATATATATATAATTCAAATCTGAACAGAACATATATAATTCAAATCAGGCATACTGACAATCTACAAGTGCCGTCACAACTTGTTATCTAATTCAAATCAGGCATACTATAATAATAACCTCAAAAAGAGCGTGAGTAATTTTTATTTTTCCAAATGAAATTGAGTTCTAAGCAACATGAATCAAGGCCCTGATGACACCAACCTCTATCATTATGTGTACCCAGCCCCTATCATATTGGATCTCCCAAGCTGGAATGTAATGTTAGGCTGGTAGGTAGCAAACAGATATAACCATGAAGGGCAAAGTTTTGATAGGCTATACTTGCAGCAGTTGCACAAAGTGGGAAGATTAGATAAATGTATGCATCGATATATGTATGTACCATGTAACGCGATCGAAATGCTCTGGTTTCATGTTGCGTTCCTGTTGTCCTGAGGTAAGATAAGTTTTATATTGGTACCAACAATAATCGTATATCTGTAATAATTTTCAAGTATTTTGTTCCGATCGCGTTAACATGTAGAGGTGACATTCTATTTGAAAACATATTTAAATTACACATTTCATCTATTACATTCATTTCTACATGATCTACCCAAAAATCACAAGAAGTTGTACCCACGATCTAAAGAGCCGTAAAATTGTTTTGGAATACAAAGCGCAAGAAGCCAACCTTATGGAAAAAGGGCATCGGAAGGCACACCGCACACTTCTATCACCGGTACTTTCTCGCGAACACCTTGAATATGGCACTTGGTCTTCCTCTAAGGCAATGCATCAAACACCTTGAGCGTGCCGTGTGGTCCATACATGTGAAGCATCAAGCGGTGTCCACCAAACAGTAGCGAGGAAGACGGGAAATGAAAGATGGGGTTCAGCTCACCGAGGATGATGCTAGTTGCTAGGTAAGACGAAATTATGGAACATGGAAAAACGCTGTAGTCTGATGCTATCAAATTAGCAGGGGGTGTGTGCGCTTAACCTGGGAGAGACGGTGAAGAGAATGCAGTCCAGAGTGTGACGTCGTCCACGAGCAGTGTTACCTGTAGGGGAGACAACGGAAGTTACAGCCGTCAGGATTAGGCACGGTGGTGCAGTAGCGACTTGGGATCTGGATCGTGGTACCGAGGTGATGTGGGAGGTAGTTCTTGTGACGACGTTTGAGGGACGGGGGAGAGAGGCGCGGCGTCTTGTATGCAGGCCCGTCGTGGCGGAAGCACCAGATCTAGCGTGTGAAAGCACCGAGCCGCCGCCTCGGGACGGCCGTGGCCGGGCTTGACCGAGCCACCACGCCGGGGAGGGAGCGCCTGTGGGTGGCTGCCACGGTCGGGCGCCCGTGGAGCGAGGTCCGTGGCTGGTCGCATGCCAAGGGCGGTGGTTGGCCGCTTGGGCGCCCGCCCGCCGGAGGGGAGCCCGTGGGGACGGCACTGATGATGCTGGCGAAGGTGCGGCCAAAATGGGACGACCGACGGCAGGGAGGCGAAACCCTAGGCTCCCCCGTTCGCTTCGGGAGGTCGTGTCGAGAGGGAGAGGGAGCGAAGAGGAGAGAAAGAGAGGGCGACGGGAGAGGCAAACCGGCTTAATATATTAGAATTTTATTGTCGGTTCGATATTTGTAGGGGAGGCCGGTGATTCAGCCGCCCCTACAAATGGACACTGCAGGGGCGGCTAGTATAACCAGCCGCCTCTATAAATCCGACCCATTTGTGGGGCGGCTCGTATCACCAAACCGTCCCTCGTTGTTCTATTTGTAGGCGGTAATTTGGTCTCTGGGCTCCGAAAGACGCCACCCAGAGGGCGGCTCCATCATCAGCCGTCCCTACAAAAAATTTACCTCGTTGCTACAAAGCGTTTTTCACGTAGTGTCTGAAGTTTTTGATTTACAGCGTGTGGCTAGAGGCAGGTGAGCCCTCCACCTCTGATAATTTTATTTGTCCGTATGTGAAAAAGTTATGCGAACTGATCATAGATTATTTGGTTGGATTCCTTGTGGTGAACCTGTTCACCCGGGTTTAAGTTCCTCGACTTGGCATGCATGCTCGTGTTTTCCTAGATTTTTATTCTAGGTTTAACAGCGCTATATTTTCAGTGGTAGGCGATATCCACGTCGACAGTGAGGTGCCTATGGTGACTTCGTGAATCTCAAGATCTGCCGAAATTATTGCAGTACAATGCGGTGAACCCTCTATCTCTGATAGTTTTGGGTGTCCGCACGTGAAAAAGGTTATTGTAGTACAGTATGGTGAGCTTTCCGTCTCTGATAATTTTGTTTGTCCATATGTGAGAAAGGTTATTGTAGTATAGTAGTAGTGTAATCAGCCGCAAATACGAGAGCACCCGTGTGAGCCGAAGATGAAAAGTGCTGACAAGGTATTCCACACTATAAGTAGCAGTGGAAGTGTTGCTCCATCTGATGAAACCCATCATATCATTATCATACACGTACAGTAACACACACACACACACATATATATATATATATATATCCACATGCATTTTCCTTTTGCATGATGGGTCATCCACCTCTTTCCGGGGAGAGTAGGCAGTGGCGGACCCAGTGGGTAGCCTGGATAGGCCTAGGACTACCCACAAATTTGACCCAAAATTCTATTACTACTCTTGAGAAACTGGCTCAAATGCTCTCCTTCGTCTCAGCCCAGACCAAAGACACCGCAAATCCACGAGCTCTTCAAAATAATAACGCGCCTGAGAGGGATCGAACCGGGGGACCTCCTGCCTCGGGCTGCAGCGCACTTACCAGTCCAGCTACGAAAGTTTGTTGGATAGGCAATACCCGCAACCCTATTTAATAAAGGAAAATAGAGAAAATACCCCTTAATTAATCACTCCTTGTATGCTAAATCATGTCCGAAACGACTTTCTTTACCGGTATGGAGGGAGTATTTATGTAAGTTTCTAACCTTTTAAATGTATTATCATAATTTGGTTAATTTATAGCTAAGTTTGTCGAACTTTTGTTTGGATTTTATAGTATTACACATAATTTTTTTTACTAGGACTACCCTGGTGTCAGATCCTGGGTCCGCCACTGAGAGTAGGAATAGACATGCTACATACAGTGCTATCGTTGCAGCTAGTTACTGCTCCATTCGCTAAAAGAAAAAAAAAAGACCACTACTGTTGGCTTTTTACGGTTTCCGAGGTGCAACTCTGCCATGATTTTTTTTGAAAGACCCGGAGGGTTTTTTGGCCCCTACTGGTTAATATATTAACGATAAAGTGCACTTCCAAGAGGGTGAAAGAAAAGAGGACTCGGGGAACTAAAAAAGGAGAGAGAAAATGAGCGAAGGAAGGACAAAAATACAAAGCCTAAAGATTATGAAAGACTGTGTCTCCATAATTGAATAAGGGAAAAATTCCCATATTTCAAACAGGCCCTAAAGGAAGTAATAGAAGACAGTAATAATAATAACCAAACGAAAGTATCAGCAGCAAAGCAAGCGAACTAGCAAAGCGAAGTGATGCGCACAAGTGGATGGATAAGGAACGAAGGTGACAAGACGGGGGATGCGGAGGCCGGCGATTGGGCGGCAGGCTGCTCGAGGGTCAGGGAGCCAGCGAGAGATTCGCCTGCGTTGCTTGTGATGCCGCCGCGCGCCGGGCAGTGCAGATGCCTGAAGCCTGATGCCCTGCCTGCAGGAAGCCGACATGCAAAGCCTGTGCGTATTCCCTTTCTTCTTTTGATGAGATGAGAGGAGGTGGTCAGTGTGAGTGCCAATAGCGCGCGCTACCTGCCACGGACGATGGACGTGATCGATGGGAGGTCGGTCTGGCAGACAGCAGTGGCAGGGGCAGGCCTGGCCTGGGGACGGAGTCGGGACTCTGGAGTGCAGCCCCAGCCCTGCGCCCCTGCCCAGCCAGAAGTGAGGTGATTTGAGATCCAGCAGTGGCATTGTCTGGTGCTCAGGGTCTAACTTCGCTCAAGCACATCGATGGCAACGGCTACAAA